GGGAAAGAGAATTCTCAGATATTCTCACAAATGAAAGAACGTCTCAAAGACTAGAAGACCGACATGGATAAAGGCTTCAGGATAAAATACCCTAGACCGTCCCCAGTACTTCTCTTATTGTTCTGTTGCTTCCTCTTTTTCTACATGAATTTTTTAGTCTGCATTTTTTCTGTCTCATTTTTTAAGACAGACAGATGAAAACAGATGTAGGAGAAAGAAGTTTTCAAGAAGCGCTGGGTGGTTATGGGTGATTTTATCAGGTTACTCAGTCCTGGAGGAATAAACAGTGACTTTGCCTACTTCCCAGACATGGGATGCCTTCTGCTGACAGCATGCTGACCAGGCTCAGGCACTGGGAAGGTGCAGTCTGGCAGAGGTGGGTAAAAAGCACAGACAGGAGGCAGTGATCCTTCCTACTCCAACTGAGGGGACCAGAATTGAACAGTTTGCTATCAGCAGTTCTGTAAAAGTCATTATAAGGTATAACTATAATATGTGGTTTTTACTGGTCATGCTTAATGCTTACCTGATTGTTCCACTGAATAAAATAGGATCTTGGAGAATGATTGACAGTCTAGATCTCAACGTCTGTAAAGGGAGCTTAGCGATATCTATACCATCAATGATAATCCTTCCTATTCAAAAGAAAATGGATAGTCTGCTAGACTGTTCATCATGCCACGCAGCTGCTGGCAAAGACATGGCTCACTTTCAGCTTGCAATAAAGCACAGCAGGAACAGGCGTTGAATTCCATAGCCCCTTATTCACTAATGAAAGAAGTTTTTGTTAAGCAGCAAGCACAACTGTCTTGAGACTAAGCCTCATTTGGGAGGAATACAAAGTATACCTGTAATATTTTATGAATTATTAGACACACTACTTATCTGCTTGACCATTATAAACTTATATCAAACATGAAGGTAAGAGATTACTTCAGCCAGGGACTAGTTAGCAGAGGTAACAAGGGGTAACAAGGGTTTCAAAAAGCCAAATTACTATTGAACACTGAAATTTTATCTCCAAGTACAACTGTCTGGCTCTGCATGAGGGCCCTGTGGATGTTGTGGTTGGGAAACCGAGGCTAAAATTTTTGAGATGCACAGGAAGACACTTCATAAGGCATATGGACATGGCACACATAGCAAGAATTATGGCAGGAAATTCCAGGGCAGCAGGCCAAACTGCAATCCCCAGTTGCTGAGTTTTCTGGACCCAGTGGGTCCTATCTGTGCCATGCGCACGGATCCTTAATTGTACTTGAACACCTTTCCCTTTTACAGTTTGCTCCTACTGTTGTGATTTAACAGCACAAAATGACTTTTGCTTCTGTCAAGTAGAATCTTTTTTGATCCAGCTTATCAATGGCACAGCTGTTAGGGGACAAATGATACCATATTTAAACAAGACCACAGAGTGTGTCCTGCAGATTCAAAAATTGTACTTCAATGCTGCTGCTGCTGTTAAGGTAAGGACTATTGAAGCACCTTCAGAAGCTAAGCTTGACCTATATGCCAAAGTGTAATCTTACCCTCAAAAGTGTCAACCATTCTGAAAAATGCAAGAGAGAAGGAGGATTTTCCACTGCCTGTTCGGCCGCAGATTCCAATCTGTGACACAGAAAGCAGATGAACATCAGGTGAGCGGAAACGGATAACGTCTGTATTTGACATGTAAGATGAGTGGATGGAGGAGCTATTCTGATCCACATGATCCTCATGTCCTGATAGTTCAGTCAAGCTGAACTGGCCATAACAGAACACTTAAGTTCACTCTTTGTCTTTAGACATTTGAGCACTTATAGATAAATCAAGGCCAGTCCTATATACAGGAACAACAGAAAAGTGGCAATGATGGAAATAAAGGCAAGAGAGCCACATGGGAATGATGGAAAGTAGGTCTAACACAGTAAGGGGTGACTGTCACTGTCAGCACACATTGTGTGCTGACAGCAGGACACTGGAATACTGAGAAATTGTGTGTAGTTCTAACTTCTCACTAATGTATGCCTAAACACACCAAACTAAGAAACCCAGAGACCCCTTTCCAGTGCACTACATTCTTCTGGAGAAAAAATTCTGTCATTCAGTCATTAAAACATACTGTGCTATGTTTTTTCATCTTTGTGATTTCTACAATGCCTAAAGAGCTTCTTATAATCACTGCACTTTTTTACCTTTTGTCCTGGAGAAATGTGGGCATTGACGTGCTTTAGCACTGGCTTTAAGTTGCTGTCATAACGGACACTGAGGTTCTGGATTTGGATCTCCCCTCTGTCTGGCCAGTTCTGGGGAATCTGCGAGGAAGCTGTACCAGGAACACAGGGGGAAAACAAAACAAAACAAAACAAAACAAAACAAAACACAACACAACAAAAATCAACCCTCTAATAATAGATTCATCAGCTCATTAAGTGATTTATTACATTTTTTCATGGTAATACACTGCAAAAGCATTAAAATATCAGCAAGCTCTTTCTGCATGCTGCACAAAACTGCACTTACAAAGGAGCCCTTCGTAATTTTCAGCTTCTGTTTTGAGAAGGCCATTGATTCTTTTCACCGCACCCAGCTGGATCTCCATGTCAGCCAGGTTACGAACCATCCAATTCAGATAGTTAGACACCTGATGTAAAGCAAATACACTGCTAAATTCCAGATTTTTAGTAGTTTGCAACATTTGACCAGCATGCAGTTTATATTCCTCCACAGTAACACTCGTTCAGCCTTAATCAGCTGAAGTTGTGAATGAACTGTATGGTACACATCAACAAGGTGACAATGACAACTTAAGGTTAAATTTCCTAACTGCAGTGCACAGATACTTTGGTACTATGAGATCTGATCTACACCAACAGGAAAGAGGGAGGGGAACACTGAAGAGACAAAAAGACATCATCTTGGTAACTTAAGGTCTGACAGTCTACAATGATGTACCGGGGCATAACTGCAATTGATGCACTGACAAAAATAGTCATCACAATGGAAGACAATATAAAGAATATGATGCAACTTGACCGTGTTTTGTTGACATATTTGAACTAACACTTCAATTAATATTTTATCTAAAAACTGAAGAAAGCACACACTCAAATATGTCAACCATTAAATGTGAACTGAAGTTTACACATGATTTCGGTGATGTTACAGTACCCACTATAGATGTACAGACACCTTCAATCTTCCTGTTCATCTTTGTGCCCTGAAGAATTACAAAAAAATGTTTGGGAGAGACAAAATGGGTCCTGAGATTCTTACCATAAGAGCATAGGTTAGTCCCAAGCCTACAAGTCCTGAAGAGAGCTTACTATACAGGCAACTGGTAATAGAAGTGACAGCTGCTGTAAGTACCACACATGCTCCAATGTACTCCTGAAGGAATATGAATAAGCTCCATCACTGTAAGTCTACAAATGATTAATACATTCTCATAACTTTGCATACCAAATAGCAAACTCATTGCACAATTTGAAATACAGGTAGAAAACACCATATAACTCTATACAGGCCCTGCCTAGAAACCCATTCTCACTGCCTTTGGCATGGCTGTGCTGTTTGGAAACGCTGTTGTACACAGCAGAAGTTGTACCAACACTTGTAATCTTCTGGAGAAGACAATGTATGGTAAGCATGTAATAGAAGTGGCTGATACTGTGCAGCTGATGTTACCTGGGGTAGGAGGGAAATGCTCATGTGAGCCCCTCTGTCAGTGGATGACTGACTGCTGGGAGGCACTCCAGTTGCTGCAGGTTGGCTACCATGCATATTTGTTCAGACAAGCTGTTCTTGTACAGCATGTATCTGTTAGTCAGACTGTGACCACCCATGATGGGCTTTTGCTTTAATCTAAATGACTAGTGATTTGACTTCCCACAGACAAGTCTGTGGGTAAAATTATGTAACAGGCTAGAAAATGAAATCTGTAGGAGGGAAGTTATCAGTTGCCTCTGTTTGCAATGTGACTTCAGGTGATCTAGGACTTAACATATGAAAAAGTAATAACATTTTATTTAAGTTATACTCAATATCTGATTTTATGAAGCAAAAGGTACCAGCTAAAATGGAGTCCCAAATGAAGGTATAGAATGTAACATGAAATATGAGTTAACATACATGTACCACATACAAAAGGAGCCCATGTTACCACAACAGTGGTACTATGCCTGTATCTAACAAAGCCTGATACAAATATCACCATCCACAACATAAAATGCCTTGATTTGCTTCTCAATGAATTAGTTTTAATAAGTAATTTCTCATGCCAGGCCGCTTTACTGAGCACTCTAAGGAAACAGGCACCTGAGTATCTTTGACATTCTTCAGATGACCCAAAACAGGCACAAACCTGTCTACTCCCTTCTGCTTATTAAGAGGGCTTCCAGGATGATGAAACATTCCTGGGGAGCCACAAGGCAAAGCCCTGCTGACTCTGACTAACACAGTCCCATAAAGGCATCCTGGCTGGCGGCACAGCTCCATCAGCTTTGATCGCTCCTCACACAGAGGAGCCAATGTGACCTATACAAACTATTCTTGTCTTAGAGAAAAGCTGCAGGCTACAGGGAAAAGTCATGCCCCATTCAGTTTATAGGAGGGGTTGGGCACGTGTTCATTACAGATACAGAGATATAGATGTAAAGGTATAGCTTCAAAACCCAGATGAGGTTGGATAACTGTTGGATGCCTCATCAGATTGCTTGGAATGAAGTCAAATAAATTCATTGTGCATACACAAAAATATTGTACTTGCCATGCGGACTTCCAGCCAGCGATTAGCAGCTGTAAGGAAAAGGGAAGCGATGTTGTTGGAATCTGTGTATTCAAGAAGTTTTTGTCGAAATTTGGCTTCATACCTAAAAAAAAATAAAAAAGTAAAATTAAATTTCTGGGGGTATATGCTCTTGGGCAACTTGATACAGGGTCTAAATCAGCCTATCAATAGTTCCGAGTGACAATCTGTAGACCTGTAAACTGTATTTTTAAAGTATCTTCACGTGTAAATGGATGTTATTGCACTGATGAAACTATGTGGGACTTCTGGATCACACTAGGCATTTTCTAAATGTATTTTATTACATGGTAACTCTAAGAGAGGCAAATCTGAAACTAATAAAATTAAATATATTTATATGAGAGAAATAATACAGGCATGTATCGTGAAAATTATTAGTACTGCAGTATACACAATGCAGTACTACTTCTCACTTAATCATATAAACTCAGGTTTTAAAATTTATGTTACTGTAGTGCCTAGAAATTGTAACCATTTATGAAGCATAAATTCAAAGTAACTGCAGTCATAGGAGCTCCACTGTTAGACAAACAGGTTTGTCCTTATCACCAAACAAATGGAGCACTTTGGAAAACTAAAGACCAAGCACATAGTGCAACAAAAAGTAACAGATTGGAAAGAACTGTGTTCCTTCCCCTCCTCCTCCCTCCTCCCTCCAAAAAAAAAATAGAATTAGCCACAGAATATGAAATAAGATTAATGGCAAATAGGTCTGTTTACAGTTTATTATAGTGGATCTGCACCCACTCATCAGGATATCTACATCAATGAATTCTGCCTTGAATCCTGCAGATAGGGAAGATGATTCCCTGCCACATGTACCTAGACTGGTCTTGGCAAGCATGCAGCCAGTCACCCATTTTAGCTGGCACATTTATTTGCATAGGTGTAAATTAATGTGATGTGATACACTTTATTATTAACATAATTATGTCTAATAATAAAGAATTCTGGCACAAGAGTATTTTCCAGGGTAGTAATAGAAGCTTGAAGGCCAGAAGACCTAGTTTAAGCACAAAAGCTTGCCTTTTCCCCTCCTTTATTACATTAGGAAGTATAACAAACTTGCTAATCTTCCGCTATAAAACTTTGCCCTATTTATATCCTTAGTTATTAAGGTTGCAACAAGTACTACTTACTTATAAACTCAGCTCTGAGTTGAAAGATATGAAAGAAAGATATGACAATGTTTTGTTTAAGTATGAAGTACAAGGCTTAGAGAAGCTTTCAAATTTGTTCACTGCAGAGTATCTTAATCCTTCTTCTAAGCGTAGTATAATAAAGCCATGACTTTATAGAAATCATTTATGCCTTTAAGGAAAAGAAGTGCCACTCTGTGGAAATAATTTAGCCATTCATAACTTTGCATGTGCTAAGACCTAAAAGATATCTGCTGTGTCCAGTGGAGAATGGCCTGGGCTGGCTTTGAGCATGCTGGTGTATTTGCATAGCCTAGAATGGTCGTTCCTGAAAGTGAGCATTAGCATCACACAGTGCCAGAGCCCTGCCTTTCCTCAGAACTAATTACCCTCAGTGCTCTACCACACAGAGATGGCTGTACTGCTTCTGCAATCAATTCAGACACATTTAAGTTTCATATCTCTATGCCATGAGGTATTATATGATGCAGATCTGCCTTAGAAGATGTGAGGTATGCATCACAAATCAGTTACACATATGCATGTGGAAAGGAGATGCAAAGTTACCACTGTTGGTGGAGTACTGCAGAAATACAAGAATTTCTCTTCAGAGAGTGTCCTCAGATCACTAGGCCTTTCAGAATACAGACCAGTCTTTGCAGAAGCCTTCACATTCACCTTTTATTGATTATTTAGCACCAACGTGCTAAATAATAGATTCAGATCTATTCAGATGCTTTAGCATCTGATGTGCCAGGTAGCAAACTATAAATCAGAACAGCACATCTGCTGAAGGTGTATTTATAGCTGCAGCAGTAGCTGTATTTCTGATCTCCCCCCAGCATTTTTTGTACATTTACTTCCTTATGCATTCTGAGTAAGTGCAGGACGGAGAGTTGCCAAGGGTAAGGACACTCTGGGAACAACTGGCACCTCCTAACTTTGGTACTAGATTCCTGAATTAGTGTTATTTTTAGGGATGTTCAAGCTAGCAAGTCTAAACTCCACTCCTGCTAGTATGTTAGGCAGCTGAAAAGCTGCACAGTCCTAAAAATAGCTGGGTTACCAGCTGATGGGGGAGGCTGGCAGGCAGATGGAACCCAGATCTTACAGAATGCACATGGCTGCTGGGTCAGTCACTACAGGATTTAAGAAAAAGAAGGCATCAAATACAATTCTTTGAAAGGGGAATTAATTTCAAGGTGACAAACAATCAATAGGGAGACTAGGGAGCACTCCAAATGACTGAAAATATTAGCTAGATGTCACTGAATATTATTTGTTGTGTCAACATCTGAAAATATATGGCCATAAGACTCTGAAGATCCTCTTGATGAAGTAGAAGAATATATGGATAAAAGAGAAAAGCAACAGTTAAAAGAAATTGAATTTCTTTAAAACTGAACATAGATATAGCTACAAACTAGAGAACACTGTTGGGACTTAAATATCAAATAACAGTAATTAATAACGGAAAATACTATGCTGTTCTACCACCCTTCGAGAAACTACCTTCAGTGGAAAAGAAACAAAATCTTATATTGGTTGTTCTTTCATTAAGCTATTCATATCATATTTAGAATAGTTTAAGAAAAGTTAACTTTGTGCATTACTTCTATTATCAAATGAACATTATTGTTAGGAGGAATAAGCACTACCATTTCAAAGACAAAATGGTAACAGCAATAATTAACTGGCAAAACATGCAGGCATCTGGAGGAGATGAGCATGGAAAGCAGTTGACCGCATTCGAGCCAAATGGGAAAAGACTGGAATAGCACGAGTGTAAGAAGAGCAACTGGTAACCTCAGCACCAGTTACACTGGTACCTCTACTAGTATCAGTGTGACTGCCATTTTTGTAACACAAACATAACCCAGGCACGCTATCGGGTTTTCCTGGGCTGCTCCTGTGAATTTATGTGGATGGAAAAATGTATCAAAACAGGGGATGAAAGACTGTTTCCAGCTTGTGCAAAATCCGGATAAACAACCACATTTTCAGCTACCAACCAAAAAGTAACTTAGGCTGCTACTGTATCCTCTGAAGTCACTAGCATGCAGCTTATTTTACCAGGACATCCACTCATACACAAATCACTCTGGCATAACAAGTTAGTGCATGTTAGTTGTTCCATGGAAACTGTCCAAGCACATAGTCTGCCACACAGCATGTTGTGGTAATTGCAAGCTAATTTAGCTTCTCAAATCACATTTGCTCACAAGTTGTTTTTTTTTAGGTTGCGTGCAAGCGTATGGAGAGTTACCACACGGAGCTGACACACATTAGCAAGTTTTCCTACAGTAGCGCCTTCACATGCAAAATGCTTAGAGTTCTCCAAGGTTTAGGAGTTCCCCCTTACTCATGTTTTGAGGACTATATTTTTCCATGTGATCCAAATAACCATTACTTATAATTGCACAATTGCAGAACAGAATCAGAGATAGACATTGAAAAGCAAGTTAATGTACATTTCTTAAAAAACTATACCTGAAGGCTCGGATGGTGGTAAGACCTTCAACAGTCTCTGAAAAATGGGAGAGTAATGGTAGCTGAGTGCTGTCATCCAGCTGCTGCAGGTCCCTGCAGAGGGTTATGAAAACAATTTTGTAAAAAGACAGTTTTCTTGTGTAGCTATTATCTTGAAACAGGCCCAGGGAGTGAAACGAAATATAATCACAATAATTACATATGTAAGGTTCGGATAGACTGT